ATACTTTTTTAATCCCTTAATTTAAAATGGATGGACAAAAAATATGCATATATTAGAAGTTTAAGGATTAAAAATAATTATTTTAAACTTCTTTTTAGTTTATAGGAATATAATAATTTTAAATATTAGTATCTCTTATTTTATTTTAAAATTTGATATTTAAGTTATAAAAATATATTTTTATAATGATAAATCTAAAACAATACGTGACAAATTCTGGTATTCGATACGTATCGTTCCAGTAATAAAATCGGCACGCAATCGGTACAATATTGACTTTCTTGGTTCTTCTCAATAAATCTGCTGGGTTAAAAAGAATCCAACTGGATTCTCGAACCCAATAGTTGTTGGGTTCTTTCAAACCTAGCTGGATTCTGGAAACCCAGCAATTATTGGGTTTTTCCCAACAGATTTGCTGGATTTTGATTGGTTTAGGTTTTTCATCTTCTCATTGTTTATTTTTTTTTGTTTTTGTTTTAGGTGCTTTAGTTCGGTTTTTGTAGAAATTTGGAAGAAGATACCTTGATTTTTTTTGGGTTTTTTTGGAAGGCTGAGAGGAACAGTGACTATTTTGAGAGATTCTAGGCTTATGCTTGTGTTATAGTTGGATTTGATGTTAGAAGGTGTTTAGGTTTGCAAAAAGGGAAAGTGAAAGGAAAGGAAGAGGAAGAAGAAAGGAAAAAAGGAAAAACAAAGAAAGACAAAAATGGGGGTTCCATTTTGAACCCAATAGGTGTTGGGTTTTTGTGGGTTTGAAAAGTGGTGATGAAAGTGTATTCGGAAGAAAAATATTGATGAATTGATTGTTTGATTCAGAAAAACGAGGATAAAAGTGGACTTGGAGGAGGCAAAGAGAGAGAAAAAGAAGAATGGATGAAGAAGATTTGAGAAAGAGGATGCTAAAGGAAAAAAGATGGGGGTAAATTTGTAACTTTATATGAATTAGATAATTATATTTTGACACATGATTTATTTAACCATGTTGTTAGGCTGACATGTCATAATATTTTGGCATGTCATCGAGTTTTCATGAGTTAATGAGACACGTGGGTAGATTTTTAACGGAATGATCAAGTTGGGCCAAAATGGGAAATAATATGGATCAAATCAGAGATTTTTTGAATTGACTAAATTAGAGGTTTATACAATAGCTGAAGGACCAAAATGAGGATTTAACCCAAAAAAAAAAAAAAAGTGTCTTTTCTCCCGAAGCTCTGTTTATTAACGATGCTAAATTCACTTTAGAATTGGAACTACATTAACTAACCCGCTCAATGGTCACAGAGAAAATCACTGCCACAACCTAGGTTCTTAGGGCATGTACAATGCATGTCCTCTTTAATGCTCTCATGAAAAAAAATACAGACTGGAGTAATTTGAAAAAGAAAATCGAGCCTTTATTTATTTATTTATTTCTTCCAAAAGGGAACAAATAAAAATAGTTTACAATCCAAGCTGTCTGTTGTAGTTTCATCCAACAATTAAGCTTAGATTTTTTAAGAGAACCCTTGGTGGTTTCTTTACCGCCAAGAGACATAGGTAAAACTACTTGTATGAAAATTTATAAATACATTTTCTGTTATCTTGAACTATTTAACTGTGTTGTTTCATTATTTGTGTCAGTCATATATTGTTTTCGGAAATTTTTGAAAAAATGTCGTGTAATATAAATTGTATCGAGTTATATTATATTAATTATTAAATAAGGGTTAAGTCTTTTGATATTGAAACTCTTTTTTCATCCAATAATTCATATTTTATGGTATAATATAATCTAAATTACAAAATAATGTTTCTTAGTTTTTTGCATTCTATATTTCATTTTGCATGTATGTATTTGTTTGTTTAATTTCATATAACTGTATACTTTATTTAATAAGACCATAAGTTTCAAATTTCTATAAAGTAACTAAACTAATACGCCATGTCACATTGTAGCAAACGTTGCACAAAAATAGTGTATCATTATTACAAAATTTGTAGGAAGGAAATTATCAAACTGATTTTTGTAATTAAGTAACGACTTTAGATACTTAACCCTTAAAAATAAAAAACAAAATGCTATTTTGTATTCCATCCCATATAAATTGTAAAATAATTATCTATTAATAAGAGATAAATTCCTACTATGAGAATCCCAACCTTAATTAATGTTGAAGTGTAAGCGCAAAAGAAATTCACAATCACAGTGCGAGATTATTCATCCAGTCGTCGATCAGTTCCATGGACCACTCTTGCTGCTTGTTTCATGTAACTGTAGTTTTTAATAAAAATTTTGTTAGAAAGAAATTATTATAAAAATATTATTTTTGTAAATTGAAAAAAAAAATAAGAATAATTTGTTAATTTCATTAAAATTCAAATGAGAAACTCTTCTAAAAACATCAATTCAGTGCTTTTGAGATTTGCAATGAAATAAACAAAATACTAATTTATAAGAAGTTCTAACATTTTTCATAAATTATAATGTTTAATGCAATTAGACCTTTTAAAATTAAAAAAAACTTCTCACTAGTTATACCAAACATAGTCTTAATTTGAGCCCAAGAAACACCAAAACTAAACAATATTATCCGGCTCATCTAAGCCCAATTTAGGAAGGCAAACCAAGTAACTCAATATCGTACTAGTATGTGTATCGATTTTGTTACTGGAACGGTACGTATCAGATACTAAAATTTTTCGTGTACCATTTCAAATTTATCGTTATAAATATATTTTTTTATAAATTAAATATCAAATTTTAAGATAAAATAAGAGATATTAATATTTAAAATTATTATATTCCTATAAACTAAAAACAAGTTTAAAATGATCATTTTTAATCTCTCAACTTCTAATATATGTATATTTTTTGTCCATCCATTTTAAATTAAGGGATTAAAAAAGTGTGTATTTAGATAAATTTAACAGAGTAATTGATAGAAGGACTTAAAAAAATATGAAGAATATACTAAAAAAGTATATAAAAAAAACTAAATGATGAAAATTATATAAAACATTAAAGTTGAGGACCAAAAAAAAATTTACTTTTTTTAATTTTGAATTGAATTGTATCCAGCAATTGTGCCAAAAATGGAAGAATGTCAAGGACAGCTGGATGCGAGAACAAAGGAGAGATTTGCGCAATCTGAAATTGCAGGGTTCAAGTAAATGAGAAGCCTCTAGCCAAAACGATTTGGCTAAGGAATCTTTTTTTTTTTTTTTTAATTCTTGCATAATGTATTGGTTAAATTTTTGTGTATCGATCGATACATCAAAATTTGACCAAAATTACCGAATTCTGACGAAATAGAATTCTAACTTATTCCGTTTCAATCTAACCTAAAAATTGGTACATACCAATCGTACCAACCGGTACGATACAGTACAGACCTCCTTAGATCCAATGCATCTTTATTGTTAAAATAATAATAAATAAACCAACAAACTGTTGGTACGAGTGAAAGAATTAGATTTCCCTTAAACAAGATCTTGAATTCAAGTTTTGTAAATGGAAAAACAGGTTTTGGAATAACTTACCTCAAATGAAGTCTGACGCGATTCGATTTTGGATTAGACGAAACCCAATATAGTTATCGAATATCAAGAGGTTAGTAAATAATAATAATAAAAATAAATAAAATCAAATTTTAAAATTAAAATTTAAAATTAGTGATGTGATATATAAATTATATTATTTAAAATATATATTTTTTTAACTTATACTTTTAAAGATATAAGTTAAGAGTACTTTTTATAATAAATTTATAAAAAATGTAAAAGTAAATATTAATTTTGGTATCAATGTTACGTGAATAAATTTAATTAGATAATTGACAAATTAAATGTTATTTTTTAAAGATTTTTAAGATACAGATTAAAAAAATTCTTAAAATATTAAAATGCAAGTTTTTTTATTTAATAATTAATATTTTTATTTTTCTAAATTTATAATATTATATATATTAATTAATTTAATAATATAATTTATACTATAGTATTAATTTTAAATTTTGTTCTTGAAATTTCAATTTCCCCATCTTTAATATTATTGTTATTGACAAGCTACGCATGGTTTCTGATAATGGAAGTTCATGAAAGTCAAAAATCAAGCCAAAGAGAAATATGCCTTCCTTGTTAGACCTCATGTCCCTACCT